CATATAAAATGTTATGTATCATTTAAGCTTAGATCATATACAATTTATTATCAAAGACCCGTAAGTATATAATAAGGCAAACCTTATATAACCTATATAGTAATAATCATTAATTTTATTTCCATTTTGTTTATTAAAACGTGAAGCTGCATGATTTAAAAATTTTACATTATTGTTTAAATTGTTATTAGTTGTATGAGATTAGCATATAATATATATATACAGCTCGATGAGGAGTGTTCGTCCGTTAATTTTGCGGATACGCACTAAGCGTAAGTACCGGCCGCAATTGCTAGCTCTCGGATGGGTGACCATCACCCGGGATTTTTAGCAGTATATATCCTTGCCACACATACACAAACATGTGTTACAACCTAACCAACTCCAAAACCTACAAACAAAAATATACAAAAATGAGCCCCACCGTACCACCCTACACCCAATTGCCTATGTTGCCGTGGGGTTCCTTCTAAAAAATTATATATATATTTAGTCATGTAATATAACATGCGTACCTAGTATATAATAATAGACCGATAAAAATCCAAATTTATTGAATAACAATGGAAGAATGTAATAACATTATCATGACGTTATAACACCTCACACACCTATCTTTATCAAAGTAAAACAAAAAAACTTAGACACTATACATTTTTATTTACTATAAGTAGGTACACGGTATATTTTAATTGAACGGTGGAAAGTTATAAGAAGAATATAACGCATGATCAAAATATGATACCGATTTATACTGATATGAATACATCATTATCATTTTTTAGCTAATTTCTAATTTCTAATTTAAAAATTATTAGTGCTATGAACTGTGAAAACATTGGAGTGAAAAATTGGGTATCTGAAGTATCGGCTAAAAATAGTGTATCAAATCTACTGATAGTGGTTGGATATGACTTGTAATTCACAATGGCCTTGGATTTCAGTGGTATCTAATATAGGGCGTACTGGCATAATAATGAAGGAGGAGAAGAACGTGTATGTACCTACCTAAAAACGAAAGTTATGCCGAGTCCGGGACCATAAGTATTATAATTAACAATTAAAAATTAGTGCCGGCTTAGCGCTATTTTAGCGGAGTTGATTAATGGGAACGCATGTCGCCACGCATATAATTACACGCGAACGTCGCGTATATTTATGTTATAAACGTTATAAACGAAAAGCCACGGCGTTATTATTATGCGCGTCTTTAACGCATACCCACACACCCAAGCACACAATATCGTACAACCATACAGACTCAGTCGACCCCTCCTCCCCCCTCACCAAWCACACATATACACAAAAACTTATACTCGTGACGATGATTATATTATATAAATATTCAGTTCGAAGGTGTGCGCGCAATACTCTCCTTTTCTACCGCCTCGAATATATATATACATTAATATAATTATTGTAATAACTACGATGGTGATGATATAATTCGTCGTCGTAATTTCCGTCGAGCGAGTTCGGCTCCCGCACATCCCTCATCCCAGCGGCCGCCCGAGTTTATGGCCCAAGTTTGACCGGCTGGCGCACCAAAGTGTCCGCGAACGGCAATTAATTCGATGAATAACGACCGGCTCGTACGTTATAATAATATCGTATTTACGCGTACCGCAACGGCCCGCCATCCGGTACATCCGTTACGCGACGATATATACAGCGCGCACTGCGCACACCCGCCGCACCCCCTCACGAGGGCTCGATGTGACCGGTCTGGGCGTTTTCACGACGAGTGCTCGTGGGATATTAATAATATATTCGTTGGAAGGAAAACTCCGCGGGAAATTCGCCGTTTGACGATTGAAAAACTCAACGTAAGTAATTTGACTGGAGACGCTGGCGATTCGATGTGAGGTCATCCGTCGGAACACTTTCAACACGATTATATCAGTTGCACAGTGTTTTAAATATGTAAATACGCTATTTTATAGTAATATTCACAAGAGGCATCCCCGTTTATTAATCGCATGTATTATTGATCGTTGTATAAAATTCCAAAACCAAGCAAAAATCTAAAAAAAAAAAAAAAACATTTATCCACAGTCCAAAGGGTTTTCAAGTACATGCGAGCCATAATTTGAATAACAATATTATCTTTAACGGTTTGACAATTTTACAAATTACGTTATTGTTAACAATATCTTATGTCTACTTTTATACACTTTAAAAAAAATTGTTATTTTACAAAAATAAAATTTCAAACTCTTTATGGATGATTTATACATGATGGGTAAATATTTGTATGCGTGTTTGATACTATGTAACATACCTACTACTATGCCGAAATTCGTGCCCCAACATCTCCTTAAGTAATATGTTAGCTGAGGTATTATGAGCGTGCTATGATCTYCTGAAATTTTTCACGAAATTTAGAAAATCACAGTTAACTTGCAGACTTTATCCACTTTAAACTTTAACGTGTTCCTAGCCAATATGACGAGTCGGTTCTGATCGAAGATTTTGGTCACAAAGTTAGCGTATACGTTTCTTTGTACAGTATGAAACTAGATAACACTTTTTATGGCTGTCACAACTCACAATTCATTAGGGTTCGCTATGAAAAATAATATATCATTCGTCGTTAAATATTAAATTTTTACGTAAAACAAACCATGTAATCAAGATGAATACATATACTCAAATTCAAAAAACATAGAGATCTGTAGATTGTCTCTGTGACGTATTTTAAGGTAGCCATGAACAGACCTTATTATTATTATTTTTAAAATTATTTTGTAAATTATTGATTGAGTTTCGTGTATAGGTACCAGGTACCACTAGATTTTCTTTCAACGCTTATTTTGACACTAATCAAAGATGAAATTGGTGCTCACCCCGATGATAAATTCATCCATAATAATAGAAACGTAATTTCATTATCATATAGAATTTGAGCCTAAAATCATTGCTTTAAAAAATATTTCTTAGATTTAACACTTACTTTGCTAAATTTTTATCTTTTCTATTATACAGAGTGTCCCGCGAGAATTTACGCATTGCGATATTTCCAAAAATAATGGAGATATTAAATTTCTGGTTTTGTAATAAGACTCACAGGAATATAATAACTACAATTATTTCATATTTTAATTTACTTTAATGTTTTGGTAAAAACTSRATAATTAATTTTTTAATTTAATTATTTCGAAAAAAATTGAAGATAGCTTATCGAAGAGTTTATTATTTTTCTGAAAATATTGACGTTTCAACATTTTATTTTTATTAATTTCCTGATTTTTAATATATTTTTTTAATTTTGAGAAAAATTGCGAATTACACCGCAGTGTTATCAAACATGTAACCCACCACCCGCGTGCTGGTATTATGGCCGGCGAACGCTTTCAGTGTGCCTAGTTATAATCATATTTTATTTCTTAAATTAATTAACTCCTCTTTATTAAACTTTTCACCCTTAAATAGGTATTWATATTAATTAGGCTAGATCAGTATTACGTCATTGTTTTTAAATTTATATGGACAATCAACTATGTTTTACACTTTAATMATTAGGGTATAAAATGAGAATGAAAATTTTTTAATAGAATATAATGAACTGTGTTAAGTTATATGAGAGAGAGAGTTATGAGTTATCATGGGTCTTATTTTTATTAGATTTTTTTATGATCAAGATATTTGTTATTTAGTAATTGCGTGGTTATAATAATCATWAAACGTATTTTATGTTTGTTTTTTTTAACACAGATTGTGCTTTTACTTTATAGGTATTATAAAAATAATAATATTTAAAAAAAAAATAGATAATGGAAATAAATATCTATTTCAATTTGCAATATAAATATAATTACAAATCTAATTTGTAAGTACCTATATGTGTGTATAACCTACAAACCATATATTCATTTCTGATTTTTTATATAATATTATACATAAATTATAAAAAAATCTCGCAGCCCATACGGGTTAAAAAACTAAACTGTAAATTACACTACTCGAGTCTCAAAGAATAGGCATGTGTGCAAAAGTCGGTGCCAATTTAATTTATTCAGTAATCTCTGAAGATTTACTGCAGAGTACTAATGTCTAATAGTCACTAAATCGTTTTTTTTTTTCAGGTACCTATATATTTTTCAATATAATAACAAACAGAAAAAGAAGATATTAATATTATTGAATATTGATAATAATAAACATGATGATAATAAAAAGAGTAGTTGTATTGTTGCATTATTATTATATTATGATGAGCTTACACGAAACACCCGTAAATTATCTTACATAATATAGATGACATGCAAATCAAAAGTTGTATTTTTTTTTTGACTCAATTCGGATGCAGACATAACGCATTGTGAATTATTATTATTKTTATATGTAATGTGTGAAAAGATAAAATGATAATCGTTGCCCGTTGAGAAAAAATCACGACTGTTGTTCATTTAAATCATAACAGACTTCCGAATGGTGCGAAAACATCATATGCGATGGGGTCACCGAGACGAAAGATAAAAATACAACAATATAATACATATATAACATAATATAATGGACATTGTATAATAAGTACATTACATTATTATGAAGTTCGTCGTAAAATATCGTAAAGATAAAATAAGTCAGTGAAAGAAAAAAACGCAGTAGGCGGAGAGGCGAACACACGCGCGGGCGCCTCACGCCAGTGTGTGGCGGGGGGAATGCACGCGTCCCCCACGACCGATGTTAGGGGGGGGGAGTTCTGAACGGGCTGAGTGGGGGTGGCGGTAATGGGGAGAGTCTGGGCGGGTGAAAAGGAGGCGCCCCGAAACTCGGGTACTGGGTGAAAACTCGCCCACGGGATCCGTCAGATATGTGGGTCACCAGGCGCAAGACAATCCGCTCGCCGCGGGTGCACGTGGGYCAGCCGGGCGGAGCGTGAGCGCGTCAAGGCGCCCGCGCTTGCCATCCCCGGGGTTACGCCCATCGCGTGGGCCTCGACGAAAATGCGCGACGGCGACGCGTCGGACCGGTGACCGCAGTAACCGCCGGCACGGTGTTTGGACGGCACGCGGCCTGCGCTTCCACGAGACACCTTATTCACGACACAGCCGACGGCCAAACTCACGCGGTCAGACCGGAACAGACTCGCTAAACTATAATCACAATATTGTTATATTATTATTAAAGCAATAAAGTAACGTGGACGGAACCGAAAAGACCAGGTGAGGTTTACTCTTTAAAAGTATTATGTATTGTTGATTTTTATTTAATGTTTGCGATGGTTTTTCTTCCCTCTGTCTTAACACACTATTCTGCTAACACGTTTTGTATATTTTACCTACTCCTTTTTTCATTACCTAATTATGTGCGTGTATGACTAGTTTTATTTCTACTGGTATACATATCACCGTATTAATAACCTAMATATAAAATTCTTAAGTTTCACAAATATACCCATCACACAGCCATTAATTTTTATGAATCATTTGACAATATTTTGTTTAACAATCTTCAATATTATTTTTGTTAAATATTAATTTAATTGCATACCTATATAATGTGATTGAAAAAAATAAACGTATTACAATTTATCCATAGAACAAAAAAAATACAAGAATTATTGACGTTGGCTTTTGCCTTTTGCACCCTTGGCAAAATTTTTGCAAATCATTTAACATTTCTGCACCCATAGCAAAGGCRCTTGTCGCTAACCTTAAGTCAGAACATTTATTCGTCACATATTTTTAMCCGATTAATTTTAATTATAGTCCCCATATTAGAACTATAGTGCTATTTTCAGTACAAGCCAAAATGTCGGTTAATTTCTATGTTCCATTGCAATCGAAGTTATAATTAACAATGGTAACTTTTATTTATGTATCAGTTGCCATAGCCGTAATTTTTGAAGACTTCATGAAATTAAAATTGTGAAACATTTCATGACATATTTCAAATGCGTGAAATATTTTAATATCGTAATAATTTTTTTTTTTAAGTTTTATTTTTGCGTATAATTGTCTGTATAACTTTACTTTCCTTCACAATTTCATAACATTAGGGAAAATAATCACTAACTACTCATTAGTGATGGTTTTTTTTTTCAGTTAGGTTATTAATATTTGTTTGAGAAAAAATTTCAATATTTCACGTTTTCACATACTTCAATCATTTCATTGCGGTAACTAAAATGTAAATTATGATATTTATTACATTATTTAATCTGATTATCACCTATATTACCTATGGCTTATTTTCATCATGTAATATCTGCATCATTACACTTTTATGAATTTATTGTACATTTGCATTTTGCGCTATCAATTCGTCAAACTGTTGTTATTCCAGTTAGATATTTTAGTGTTAATAGTTAATACGTATCATTCTGAAATTGTATAATTTCAGTGGAAAACATTGTGTTTCCTATCAAATTTTTTTCAATGGTAAAAATTAAGTTTCGAAAACTCTTAGACACGTGGTATTTATGTTTCAGTTTTAARAATTCACTGATTATCCTAAGACATCTGAAATAAGATGTCTGGAGACTAAATTTATTAATTTCACTATTTATAGTAATAAATTTAAAATTAAAATAATAAACCAAATAATTGCTTTTYTAAAATAGAAACGATTAAAGTCATAATATGTACATAGGTATATTATATTTATTTATTTGGATTGTAATAGTTAAATGTAGGTACTACACTATATTTTATTTTAGCTCTGTAATATATTATATTAAAATCAACAAAATGTTTACCTATATTCATCATAGAATCCATAAATGTATAGAATATAGAGTTATGGCCAATATAACAAAACTAAATTTTAAATAACGACCCACTAAAAATGAAGACATTTTAAAAGAAGTGTTTTGTTAGAATTTCAAATTTGATTTTAAATATTTTGTAATTCATAACCGAATACGGTAGTCATTAACCGAGTAACCTATATTGTAAGGTATTTAAATAGTTAATTTTCATTTGTGTGWGAAGGTGTATCTATTACTGCTACTTCAAGTTCAAATATTTATAATAACATGGAAACACATGGAAATCACGAAATATTATTTCTTAGATGAACAAAAATTCTGATTGCATAGTTTTAAATTACCTTTACGTGATACTGTTATTCACACATAAATTTCAAATATATATATTAAGCTATGCAAACATTTAAGTACTGAGATAAATATAATGACATTAAAGTAAGTTGAATTTATTTTATGTGTGAGTGAATATATAAACTAAAAATCAAGAAAAAAAAATGTCTTGTTTTCAGAAAAAATAAAATAGTGTCGTCAGTGCCATAACAGTCAGTTAATAAAAATAATGTTCAATCCGTTTTACACAACGCCAATKCTCCAAGGAAAAATTTAAATAGTGACTTTAAAATAAATACTATTATATACTAAGAAAAAGGAAAATAGATCAACAACACCTTTTTAATCATACACTATACTATAATAYATTCATAGTTGTAATAATATTAAAACCTACAGTTCACTTATACACTGAAGAAAACTGTGGTTGTATGTAAGATACTTAATRTAGTTTTTCCTGTGTACTACAAAAGTGGTAAATTAAAACTTAATTAAAACATACCCGGTTAAAACATAAATATATAATTTTATAATAATTGCGTATAAAATTAGAAAAATTGAATGAAGTATGAGAACTAAAAATATTATTTTGTCAGTTTAAAATTTATAAAATATCTTACCAAGACAAATTTCTTCAGACTCGTCCTATTTCTATTATCCCTCACTTAATTGTGATGTTTATTTTTCGTTAGTATCTACACTGCGCAAGACAAAAATACGTCGGTTTTTAAAAAAAAGATAACCTTTTTTTTCCGTTCAAAAAAACCGGGAACGGGTGGGAAATGTTTAGCACAATACTGCCACCCGGTCCCGTATCGTTTATTCACCGTCAATTATCGTAGTTATTTTACATACGCGGGGGCCTCTAACCACAAAAAAAAGACAACCTAACTAGGCCACTACGGTATCATAAAGAATGCTCAATATATTTTTCTYATAATTTTCTATTGCTATGTAATATTATGGTTAAAATATAAACTATTGTATTTTTTGTCCTAAGGYCAAACAATATATTTTTTGTAAAAATATTGTWGTAAAAAAATGTTAAGTAGCTGTTTGTTGTTTCAAGAAAATTATTATATTTGTATTTATTTGAATTAATTTTAAAATACTTTATAGAATACTCGTTAAATACAACTTATTTTAATAACATTTTTAATTTTTAACAATAATTTTCAACATACACAAACTACCATACTAGTAATTTTAGAAGATCAAGCAAGAAATTGATTTTAAAATTGTCTAAATATTACTCATAACTATGATATAACAAAAAAACTATTAATACTTGTTATAAATTATACATACATATTTATCTAAGACTTACTATATTGCTCAACTTTGACCGAGAGAAAAAATGAACTATAATWTAAAATAGGTATAGCACTCGGTTTCCATAACATTATGAACAAATCCAACTGAGGTAGATAATCTGGTCACTGCCGATTTGATACAATATTTGTTGTATTTCGGTTTATAAGTACTATATGTTATGATTTTTTATTAGTTCCTGTATGTTTTTTTTTAACTTAACACCAATACACAATGCTGCAGTGGTAAAATATAATATGTATATAAAAGAAACTTAGTCTAAACTGTTCCCCCTTAGGCTTAATAATCATACATGGATTGAAGTATTATTAAGAATAAAATTATTTTGTTAATAATTTTGACATAAAATAAAAATACGTTTGATAAACTGCAACAACATATGTTTTATTCAAAATATTACACTTAAAAATAAAAAATAAATATACATGCATTAGCAGAATAATTAAATTTGCATCTTTTTCGACGAAATTCCTGCAGAGAATTTTCAATTTCCGCGTTTTTGACAACAGGAATCAAATTCCCATCGGTTTGGATTTTTTTTACCATTTTTTATGCCTGTGCTATACACAAAGACGCCTTTATACTTTACCCCGTATACCGTGGTTTATCAGTAACTGGTGCAACGTTGCAGCAGCAGCTGAGGGGGATTGGATTTCGCCTGTTGTTGATTGGGAAAAGTGTGACCCGTATCAAAAAATTACCGTCACTTTAAAATTGGTTAGCAAAAATAGCACTGTACTCTGATACAAAAAATGTATATATATATATATAAGTATAGGACGGATCGCCCATGGTGAGGCAAGGTAAAAACAGCACTTCCGGATACCTTGTGACATTTTTTGTAATTAATAATAATAATAATAAATATGCTCTGGTTTTTATTTCTAGAAAAACTCCCTTTTCTTTTGCGAGAAAAATATCATCAAAGGTAATAATAATAATAATAATAATAATAAAAATAATAATAACAATAATAATAATAATACACGACAAGAATGCTCTGAAAAACCTAATGAATATTGGCTGACAATATCCATAGTGACCGATTTTCGGCTTCAAAAATCCGGTCGGAAAAAACTCTTTTATCCTTTAAAAGGTACTTATATAAAATAGTATAGCTGAATATAATAAGCAGCTAATTCTGTCTCCTAACTCCGGGAACCGTAAAATTCAAGAAAAGGAAATATAAATTCCAAGTTATTTTATGTGAACGTCATTTTCCCGTGATTAGTATTATCCTTGCTACAAGGTTTAGTCATAATACTTTTAAGAACGCCCCATAAATTAAGATTAATCGTTCTTAACTGTTTAATACTTTGTTCAATATTCTGGGCCTRTTTACCACGCGACTCCTATACCATCATGATACWTGTTCATGACTTGAAAATGTTCACGACTCCAATTATTGGAAAAATGCATTAAAACGTTAGGGCAGTTTATCGAATGACTTAAAAGTCGTAGTTGTTAGTTAGTACTATAAAATAATAATTAAAAAGTTAATCTAAAGACAGTTTGTTTCGGGATTAAATCACCAGTTATTTTCGACAATTACTATTTATACGAGTGACGCAAATACGCAATTATATTATAATAGTGTACAGCATTGATAAAGCTGTAAAAAGAAGGCCATTCGAAAAATAAACAGCAATAATAACATCACATTGATATTGTCGCACATCAAATTAACGATTATACTAACGTTATATAATATTATTTATATATTAWATATAACTATGACTTAAAATCTTTAATTGGTACCTATTGCACTAAAATTAATAGATTTGTGAAATC